AAGCTCCATAAGGGAAAGGGCAGTACTTGCTTTATTTGTCTCTATATCCTCAGGGATGGCATAGGGACTTGTGTTCATTGATCAAAATATGTTTTATACACCAGGTGCAGTGGTGCACACCTGTAATCCCAGACACTCAAGAGGCTGAGGAAAGAGGATTGCAAGTTCAAACTAGCCTCAGCAACTTAGTGAGACCCTAAGCAACTTAATGAGACCCTGTCTCAAAATAAAAAATAAAACAGGGTATATATCAATATATTTTATACATTACTGTGTATTATATAATAGTATAATTTTTATATAATACATTACAGTAATCATATAATAATATGTAATGTTATTATATGATTATTTATCATATATAATATATATTATTTACCATTATATATATTATATATGATGCATGTATGAATATGACACAATGAAACTCATTATTCTGTGTAATTAAAATATACTAATAGAAAATAATTATTTTTAAAAAATATGTAAGTAATTGTTGAATAAGATGAGTAGAGAAAAATGTCCTAAATAAAAATGGATTTAAACCAAAGGAATCAATACCAATAGTTAAACTTCATAAAGAGGCTAACATGTTCCTGAGATAGTTATTCATGGCTTATGTGTAATTGTCACTACAACCCTTGAATACCTACTTTTGCACATGTGAAACTAAGGATTATAGAGGTTAACTATCTTATTCAAAGTTAAAGTCAACCTGCTAGTAAATCGCTCATCAAAACCTCATTTATAATGGGAGTTCATAACCCACTTGAATCTAATGTATGAAATATGATATGTCAAGAGCTTTGTAATGTTTTGAACAACCAATAAAAAAATTAAAATTAAAAAAAACCCCTCATTTATATAGCTGGGAATGGTGGCACAAACCTGTAATCTATCGTCTAGGGAACCTGAGGCAGGAGGATGGTAAGCTCAAGGCCAGCCTGTGCAACTTAACAAGACCCTCTTTCAAAATAAAAAAATAAAAGGGTTGGGACATAACTTAGTGGTAGAGCATTCCTGGCTTCTATCCCCAGTACTATAAAAACAAAAATAGAAATACCCACCTCATTTATACTAGCCAAATTTTGAAAAGAAACTACATGGTATTTGAACAGAATGTTGTACATTTTTAGAATCTGAGTTGTCAAAAGGTATATAGTAGTAGCATAGCAAGATGAATATAATCAATAGTTCCTGGTCCCATCCAGAGCAATGGCTACTACTGGGATAATGCCACAGTGATACCTCTTGATGGGTCCTGAGGTCATAGATAGCTCTTCTAGTGAATACCAGCTGTGTTCGAGGATGCTGGTTAGAAAAAGTGACATCTGGAAGTGCGGGGTGTTTCTGAGAGAGGAAATGAATCCTGAAATGAAAAGATACGTGAGCCTTGCAGGAAGTGAGAGAAATTCTGTGGGTCTGGGAGGAAATTCTAAGGCATTAAACTGGAGAGGTAAACAGAGGCCAAATGGAGAGGACCTCTGGGTCTTATCCTGGGCAGCTGTGCCCTGTAGTGATCACTGCAGATCTGTATGTGGAGAATGAAGGCACTAGTTCCAGTATTCAGAGAAGGTCAGGTTGTGTTTGGGTAAGACTGATGAATTTCTACTTTTGCTTAAAAACTTGGCCAGAGATGAAAGTGAGAACTAGATATGAAACAAAACAAAACAAAAATTCAAAGATTCTCAGATTTGCAGTCTTGCCCTCAATATCATCAAAGGAGCAAACAGTGTGAAAATGAGAGGGAAGCCTAAGTATGATATTTTTCAGTCTGAAAAAAAAATCTGCTTTTTGCTAATTCTATCATAAAGCAGCTGTTTAGTCCCTTTTAACTTGGTTATTTGCTTTTGGTTTGAGACATCTAAACCAATGACATTTGTGGATTTAAGATAGAAGTCAGTTCTCTCCTATTATGTCCAGAAAATGTTTGTTCAGGCTAAAAGTTTCCAGATACAATAACATAAATTTTATAGTTTGGGATACCTTCTCTTCTAATATCCAAATGAAGCTAATGGTGTTCTCTCCAAAATTCATGTTGTATCTTAACTCCAATGCATCAGTATTAAGAGCTATGGCTTTTGGGAGGTGATTAAGGCCTGATTGTCCTATTATTGGGATTCACAACCTTAAAAAAGGGCTCAGGAATGGGGGCATATGTAGCTCAGTGTTAGAGTGTGTGTTTAGTATGTGCAAGGCCATAGTTTTAATTCTCATCACCATAAAAAATTAAAAATAAAATAAATGGGCTCAGAATTAAAGGGATTGCTCTCTTGCTGTTCTGTCTTCTACTCTGTGAAGACACAGGAACGAGGTGCCGTCTTAGAGCCACCTTTGCAAGGCATCTTGGACTTCTCAGTTTCCAGAACTATAAGAAACAAATTTCTATTCTTCATAAATTACCCAAATCTAAGATATTTTATTCCAGTACAAATAGACCAAGTCATTGACTTTAGTGTATCTAGCATATACTTGATAAAACATAAATTTCTCATCTTGAAAATACAGAGAGATTTTATAGAGAAAATAACTTTTTAGTAACTTTCTCATGGCCTATATAAACATCTTACAGCATGCAGTTCAAGAACTTTAGTTTTTCTCCTTCCACCTTTTATCTCTTATGGAGCACCTGCTTGCCTGTAATTAAGACCTCTCACTATACTTTGAATTGCAAAAAAAAAAAAAAACAACAGTTACCCAGCCCTGTTTATGACAAAAAGAATTGAAAGCAGAGTCTCAGAGACTCAGTTGCATGCCCACATTCATAGCAAAACATTATTTATAATAGTTGAAAGATAGAAGCAACCCAAATATCCATCAATCAATAGATGAATGGAAAAGAAAATGATTTCCAATGGAATAGTATTCAGCCTTAAAAGGGAAGGGCTGACATGTGCTATAACATGGTTGAGCCTTGAGGACATCATGTTAAGTGAAATAAGCTATCATAAAAAGACAAATATAGTATCATTCCACCTATATGAGATACCAAGGGTAGTCAAAATCATAGAGACAGAAGGTAGAATGTTGGCTACAAGTGGCCTGGGGAAAAGGGAGTGGGAAGTTTTTGTTGAATGGATATGCAGTTTCAGTTTTGCAAATGGAAAGTTCTGGAGGTGGACGGTGGTGATGTTTGCACAACAGTATGAATGTGTGCGTAGTATCACTGAACTGTGCATTAAAAAATGGTGAAGGTAGTAAATTTTAAGTTACATGTATTTTACCATAGTTTTTAATATTGGGAGAGTTAATATGATAAAGCAATACTTGATTGTGAAATTCTTATGGAAAATTATTTGTTGATACAATCCAAGAATATTTGAAAAAGGAGCAGCAAAGTCCCAACTGTTTAAATAATACAATAAATAAAATGGATACTCAGGATGATTAACCAAGTCAGTGAATCAAGAAGGGAATCCCTGCCAAAAGGTTGGTGTATTTTCCTGTGAAATGCTTTGTCTTCCTTAGTTCAAGTCTCTTACTTCTTCAGAAAAATGAGGTCAGTGCTGAGATGTGACATTTCTGATAGGACTCTGTACAAAGGTGCCAGAAAGTTAAGTATGAAGTTTATCTTTTGCCAAAGCCAACATCCATTCCTGCCCTGCTTTTTCGGATACACACTTGCAGGCAGTCACGTTGGATGGCTTTCTGTTTTAAAGTGTTTCATCAGCGTAGGAATCTTGATTCACTCTCACATTCACCAATCATCATGGAATGGCTGTTGTGCACAGACGCAGGGCCGGAGGTACGGTGGCATGATCTGAATAAAGAGAACACAGGTCCTGACACTGTGGTTCTTATAGTCTGCTGCATTTATCTGTTGTATCTACAGGTGTCTCGACACCAGGCAACATTAGACAATCAGCTGAACAATGATTACTAAGTAAGGGTTATGTATTAATTACTACTTAGTGATTCCTTAGTAATTGTGAGAAAGGCACCCTTCAGAGTGGCTTTGAGATTTATTGGGCACTGGGGAGATCATGGAAGATCTCCTTTGGAAGGACATTTGATACAAGGCTTGAAGACTGAGTTTGTGTTAACTTAGAATGTCCCCTACTGTCCGAGTTTACACTGTAGCATTGAGGGAAGGGGGAAGGACAATACACTATGAACAGAATAGACAAGTGATACGGAGGATGAACTTGGCAAAATACAAAGCAAGGTGCGGGGGTGGTCAGAACTGCTGGGGAAGGATTGCAATTCCCAGGCAGGTTATTGAAATACTCTTTATTGAAAGTATTTACATATAAATAAAGACTTTAGAGTAGTGGTGACCCTCCTAAGGAGGGAAGATAATAAATTAGGTTTCAGATGTGTTGATAATGGTTTAGAAATGTTTATACTATATGATATTTATGTGAGCTGTCTAATAGGTTTCTGGGTATAGAAGAATCATAAAGATTGTTGAAACTAGACAAAAGAAGTGTTATTACTTATATACAAGCTGATCATAGATATTAATAAAAATATACTACTCCCCCCAAAAAAGATCTCCTGTACCTTTTTGTTCTCTTTCGTTTTTCAGCCTCTTTTACCTCTTTGCTTTCACAAACTTTCTGGGTTATAATCATTTTTTTTTAATTTTTTATTTGTTCTTTTTAGATATACATGATAGTAGAATATATTTTGATATACTATACATACATGAAGTATAACTTACTCTAATTAGATCCCATTCTTGTGGTTGTACATGATGTAGAGATTAACTAGTGGTGTATTCATATAGGAACATAGGAAAGTTCTGTCAGGTTCATTCTACTCTCTTTCCTATTCCCAACCTCCCTCCCTTCCCTTCATTCCCCTTTGTTTAATCCACTGCTACTATAAAAATAGCCCATAAAGAGAGGTAAGATAATATTGATTATAGCCTTCTTCAATCCAAGAAATGAAACTCCTAAAGGCAAACAGCCTTTGTTGTTGGTGTTGTTATTGGATCAAAATTAGAGAAAACTGCCTTTCACAGCTCAGATTTGCCACCTTGCTTTTTGTGTTTACAGCAACTCAAGCATCCCAACCTCGTCAACCTCCTGGAGGTCTTCAGGAGGAAGCGGAGGCTTCACCTGGTGTTTGAGTATTGTGACCACACAGTTCTCCATGAGTTGGACAGATACCAAAGAGGGTGAGTGATCCATCCCTTACCAACAAAACAAAGCACAAACACACCAGAATTTGTGAAGGAAAAGCAGCAATGACTCCTTTAAGACTAGGTTAAGTCGGGCACAGTGGCATACCCCTGTAATTGCAGGGACTTGGGATGCTGAGGCAGGATGATTGTAAGTTCGAGACCAGTCTCAGCAACTTACTGAGACCTTGTCTCAAAATAAAAAATAAAAAGGGCTGGGAATGTACCTCAGTGGTAGAGTTTTCCCAGCCTGTGTGAGGCCCTGGGTTCAATTCCCAGTACCATTAAAAAAAAAAAAAAAGTGAGTCAATCAAAGAAGGCCTCATGGTGAAGGTAGTCTTGCAGTGGAAATGGGAAGAGTTTAGAGTGGTCAGTAAGGGAAAAGGATATTTCATCCTCTTCTTTTGCTTTGTTCCTGGGAGCTCAGCTTTGGCTGGAGAGAATATGAAGAGTACCTTGTAGGTCAGAGTCACAGAATGGTCCCCCAATCCCTGGGCACATACATACTTCAGGGACTAGAGGCTGAGGCTCTTCCAACAGCTCTTTCTAGCCTCGGCCAAGGACACTCTGCCCTGAGGTTGCTGGTTGTAAAGATCTTCCATGACCTCCAGGCAAATGGGATTAAAGTGTCTTATGGTTTGTTAGTGACCATGATACAGGCTTTTCATGTTCAGGAATGTTAATTTACCCAGCCAGAGACAGCCAAGAGGACAGACAGCTCCCTTCAGAAAGTAATTGATACAGAATAATTGTGTGTTCAAAGAATAAAACATTTTGTGTGTTGATATTTGCTCTTTTGACAGCTTGTAAGTGATACTGCAATAAAATTTATAGTATAGTTTTCATGGCTATTTGGGACTAGGGAGATACTACAGGGAGTTTGGTTAGTCATGTTAGGCTGAGTGGCTTGGAACACTGAGGGATCGAAAGAAATTGGGGGGGTATTTTTGGCATATAGTTTGAGCAGAAGAAAAGAACGGGTGCTTAGAGTTTTGAAAGCAGGTGTTTTTAAAGCCAACTGACTAAAATAGGTTACATATGTTTCAGGAAATAGAAGATGCTTTAATATGAAGGTGGGTTTAAAAAGGGAAGGAACAATAGACACTGTGATTAGTCACAAGCCACTTTGTTTCCAAATGAGAAAGTGCCATGGTTTATCAAATATAAGATTTACTTGAGGAACACTATTAAATGAGCAAGTTTGAAAAATAAGATTTATTTTTAACCAAACATACCCATTTATTTGGAAGCTTGAGGATTTTTTTTTGTTTCAAACTAAGTCACTTTCCATTATACTGAATATTTGTCAATTCTCCAATTTATTTTAAATGCAATCTCAAATTTTCAGTTGTTATTATTATAAAGTAAATGCTAAATGATGTCAAGCAAAGATTTTGAAATTTATAGGAATCTTTTAATTTTCAAGGTAAGAAATCTCACATCATAAAATAAAACTTTATAAGTACATTCACAGTCAAAATTTACCTTGATCAAGTTGCTTACATTGTCCTCATCTGTAAAAAATGAGAGTTTAGGGTGAAATTTAAGGGGACTCCCAGCTCCATAATGCTATGAATTGATGATCTAGTACTTTAGAGGTCAGGAAACAGATTATCCTTTAGTTTCTCATTTGATCTGTCAGATAATATCAACAGAGAGAAGGAGCTGATGCTGTTGTCTCTGCCTGCTGCCAGTCTGGGTCCTTCTTAGCTTACTACATCACCTCAAGAATGTCCTGTGATCACTTCCTGTATTTTCAAAGTATAAATTTCTAAAATACAAAGTAACAAGCCATCCCTATATAAAATCCTTGAATAGTTCCTCAGTTCTTACTGGTGTAATGAAGTCTCAATACTAATCCCATTTCTCACTAGTTTGCTCCATAAAACCTAATCCTGCCTCACTATATCATTTGCACTCTCGGATTTAGGACATGGTATTTTCTCAGCCTGGGTTCCCTGCCTTCTCTATGCCACCTAGAAAACTCCTGCTGTGCTTCAGGTGCAACCCAAGCACGACTCCTTTATGATGTGTGTCAGAACACTGAGGAGAGTCAACACTCCTTCAGTGTTCTTAGCATCTGGGGTTATTTATATAATAGAGCCCATTTGCCCCAAATTTATAAAATCCTCAAGGGCAAGAGTTGGTTGGGCCTTTCTCACCTGTATATCTCCAGTAACTTCTAGCTGAGTACTTGGCACTCTATACATGCAATACTTGTGGAATGACCTGACTGTATTAGCAAACCAATAAATTTGATACTTATGAAATGATTTCAAAGAATAATCATCATCACAGTGTTTTGATTTGCATTTGAAAATAGTTGCTTTGACTTTAAAACTCTAAATCCTAATATTGTTAAAGGAAATTATAAGTACACTGCTGGAGGAAACTGTCACAGAAGTTCTACTTTTAATAATTTACCATAAGACAATAATGTATATGTGCAAAAGATTTAGCTACAAAAGTATCTATTGTTAAAGTAGTGTTTTAAATGAAAAAGTTGGAAACAATTGAAATGTAGGATGATAGAAAATTGATATAGCTTTACAAGGTAACATAGTGAAGCCATGAAGAACATGTTTGTGCCGGGAATGGTGGTGCATACCTGTAATCCCAATGGCTCAGGAGGCTGAGCCAGGAGGATCACAAGTTCAAATCCAGCCTCAGCAACTTAGTGAGGCCCTAAGCAATTTAGCAAGACCCTGTTTCAAAATTTAAAAAAAATAAAAAGGGTTGGGGATGTGGCTCAGTGGTTAATGATGTGGCCCTGATTTCAATCCTTGGTACCAAAAACAAAACAAAACATAAAAGAACATGCTTGTGCTTAGCATGTGTGAGATCCTAGCACCAAAAAAAAAAAATAATAATCATAACTATTGCTAAAACATACATGGTAGGAAACTGCTTGTGAACAGATACAGATAGGATAACCATTTCTATGAATATTTCTTTTTTTTAATTTTTATTGTTGGTTGTTCAAAACATTACATAGTTCATGATATATCATATTTCACACTTTGATTCAAGTGGGTTATGAACTCCCATTTTTACCCCATATACAGATTGCAGAATCACATCAGTTACACATCCATTGATTTACATATTGCCATACTAGTGTCTGTTGTGTTCTGCTGCCTTTCCTATCCTCTACTATCCCCCCTCCCCTCCCCTCCTATGAATATTTCTTTAGGATAAATTCCTAATAACATACAGTTCTCATAAGGGCTTGACCAGTTCCTCACCCTTCACCCATCTTTGTTGTAGCCTTCTGTAGAAATGAAGTCTTGATGAAGGTTGATTGATTGATTGATTGATTAGCAACATCACAAGTGTGAGAAGAACAGCAGTGCAAAGGAGGTCTTCTGTAATTGAGAACGTGTGGGAAGAAATATATGTTCTTTTTTTTAAAGATTTTTTTAGTTGTCAGTGAACCTTTATTTTTATGTATTTACTTGTTTGTGTACATGTGGTGCTGAGAATTAAACCTGGGGCCTCACACATGGTAGGCAAGCACTCTACCACTGAGCTACAACCCCAGCCCCAAGATACATGTTTTTCTTCAGCATCTCTCCCATCTTAGATTGCTGAAAAGGTGGGGTTTTTGTTTGTTTGTTTGATTGATTGTTTGAAATCAGTTTGATCTCTTCACTTTCATACAGCAGTTGTTTGTTTCTCTCTGTTCATTTCAATCCTGTTATCAGGACATAAGGGTCACGACACTATTATTTTGTGAAACTGTATCATCAGGAAAAACAGAGCACCTGTTTTCCTCTGCTATCACACCACGATCAACACTTCTGTGACCTCCAAAGATGAAGGGACTTCTCCCCACCAGCAACCAAACAACCAATTCTGCAGCAGGTTGCAGCTGGATGTTCTCTAATTCAAGTCAGTTCTGAGACAGCAGCAGATCCCACAGGATAAGGGCTCAGTCTCCAAGATTGCCCCCCCCAACACACACACACTTTAGATGTCAATCACAAGCCCCAGGTTGTTTTACCTGTGCTTTTTCTGACGACTATCCATAAATCAGGGTTCCCACCACTCTGCCCTTGGGCTCGATTAATTTGCTCAAGCAGCACACACAACTCAGGGAAGGACTTAACATTTACTGGTTTATTATAAAGGATATTACAAAGGACACAGAGATTTTTAGGGCAAAGTGTGAGAGAAGGTGTGGAGTTCCATGTCCTTTCTGGGTGCGCCACTCTCCCGGAAACTTCCGTGTGTTCAGCTATACAGAAGCTCTCCAGACTTTGTCCTTTTGAGTGTTTATGGAGACTTCATTGCATAGGCACAAATACTAATAGACTGGGTGGAGAGCCAAGCCAGACCTGTCTATTTAGATTCTTCTTGCCTTCTTTGTGCAGCATTCCTTCCTCCAAGTTAGAGAACAGGACTCACTTGATATGAGAAGGTTCTTTGACCTATCAGACAAGGTTAGGCCAGAGAATTTCTTTATGGCCAGCTCCATGATAGAAAGGTGGAGGAAGAGAAGGGGTTTTAATGATCCACCTTGGGGAGGGAATAATGAGCTAGGAACCAGGGACAAAAAAACAAATATATTTATATGTGTATATAAAAATAGTAGTATTGCAGAAATCAACACATCTGGGCAGAGGTATGCGAAGCAACTGTAAAAAGAGAATAATTGCTGGGTTTGTCATATTTGACTGACTGAAGATGTTGTATGTAGTGATAGGCCCTCCTAATGTGGAGACGGGTGTGACTGTTATCCCAGCTTAATGACAGAACCAGTCAAGTTACCTGTTTTCTTGCATCCCAGTTCTTTGCTCACCACAAGGATTAGAACTTGGCTTTCTTTATGGAATTGCCTACAAGGAGAGCATTAACTGGTACCCAGGACTTGAACATGAGTGAATAAGTTGGCTGCTGGTTTTACATATCAGGCTACTTAATTTGTTTAATGTTCACCTGCCACTGTGAAATGGATACTGCCTCCATGTGCTGACAGAATGAAGTGTCTGCAAGCC